TAACTCCAGTTAAACCCCAGTATAATTCCAGTTAAACCCCAGTATAACTCTAGTTAAACCCCAGTATAACTCCAGTTAAACCCCATTATAACTCCAGTTAAACCCCAGTATAACTCCAGTTAAACACCAGCATAACTCACCCCTCCCCAGTTGAGAGTCCTCGCCAGGTCATTTCCGGTCCCCAGAGGGAGGATACCTACAGGAGGCTGGGGGCGGAGCTTCAGCTCATCCAACACGGACAAGATCCAGCCGACCTGAACACACATACACATTTTTGCTACATCATGGGGACTTCAGTCTAGGAGGTTACACGTGGGGACACCACTTTCTAAATGGAATAACGGTATACTTTTGATCACATACATTTTTGGGGGGGTCCTGGGAACCAGCACACACACCGAAACGTGCTTAACTCACAGTATTTTCATCAGTTTTGAAACATTTTGGTCAGGAGAACATTAGCTAGTCACATTTATTTTATTACTGCTTTAATTCTTTATATTCTAATATAACTACACCTGCTGTTATTATTATTAGTCATCATTTTTCTATTATTATTCTGCTATTATTAGTACCACTACTATTATTACTACTTCCATATGAATCATGTATGTCATATGCATTGAATGTGTTGTAACTTTTATGTTGTTCAATCTGTTCACATGAATTGAATTGTATAAAAAAATCGTGAAGATTGTTTGAACAAAATGTGTAAGTATCATAAAATTTATCTGACAGATTACTTTCTGCAATAATTCAAAATCCAATGGAAAATTGCTATTGCCTGTTTGTGGAGGGCAGCGGTGACGATGACTTCCTGTTGGACAGAAACACGTCGTCCCTGCAGCTCTCTGTTGATTGAGGTTGAGTGTGCTCTAAGTGTTAAGTTTAGGTTTAAGTTTAAGTTTAAGGTTGGACTCACTGTCCCGTCCCCCCCACAGGCCAGGATCCTCAGGTTGGGCACTTTGGCGTACAGCTCAAACCTGCAGGAGAAACACAAAGTAAAGCCTGAACATCTCCTCAGCGGTTCACTCCTCACTCCGCCGAACAGAAAAAAAGGGAATTGGGATGCACCCCTGTGCCGGTCTGGTCTTACCCCTCTCTGGGTCCTCCCTTCGTCAGGTCAAACACCTGCCGAGGGTTCAGGTACCACATGAAGGACTGGATGATCTTGGCTCCCTGAAAACAAAATAAAATAAAAACAGTTTGTCTATTACTCTGTTTATCAATCAACAGAAAATTAACAGCGTGTCATTTTGCAAATTCAATCAATGGTTAACGTCATTTTTTCATCATTCTGTGGGTCCAATTTCAAATATGAGGATTTGCGTCTTTTGTCATTCATTATTAATTTAATTTATTTTTTACTGGCTGAACAAAACAAATATTTGATGACGGATATTGCAGTGGAAACGCTTGTTATAATTAAAAAAAAATACTTGAGGTTCTTCAACAACGTTAAGCTCATCATGTTTTCTTGATATTATAAAATACAAAATGCTAATTAAATTGCTGCATTATTAATGCTCTAGCTTCACTTCATGCAATATCCCTTTTTCATTGTCCCCAGTAATTCCAGTAAAAAGCTCCTTTTGATTGGAATAACCTCTGTCTTTCTCTGTGACCAATCACCTCCTTCGACTGCTTCAGGACTTCTTTATTTTCTCATCTTATGCTTTTAATTTGTGCCTTCTTTCAGTCTAACTGAATTTTAAAAAGTTGCTCTGTATGCTGATGTGAATTGTTAATTTATCATATCCTTGTATTTCTTGTACAATAGCTGAGGGCTGAGGTGGGGGAGGGGAAGGGTCAGCGAGCTGTCTGTATTTGTAGTTTATGTTATGATATCAATGATGTTTTTGGCTGTATGTGTTTATTTGTAGTTTGTTATATCACTGATATTTTGTCTGTATGTGTTTGCATTTATGTCTACAGGAAACCCTTTGATAATGAGATGCTACATCTCAAGAGGCTATCCTTAATATAAATTCAGATTCAAACATGTTCAGATGAAATGAGGCCCTTGACAAGCAGGAAGGTGACTCTACCTGGTTTCCTCCACTCTTCGGGTTAACAAACACCAGCAGAGGCTTCATGAGCTGAGAGGGGAGGGGCTTCACCAGGAAGGGCTTCCAGCGGCCATCTTGGATCTGACGGAGTAGAAACACCCAGGAGACGAAACACACATTTACACCACTCATCACATTACATCATCCCAACTCATTAACCTTAATACAACAGATATTCTAATTATATGACAACCTCTCAAAAGACTCTTTTTAAAATGTCAGGTTATTAAAGTCAGACTCAAAGGACGCATGATTAAAAGCAGCGTAGGCTACATGTTCTATAGGGAGAGTGCACAGCTCCTTAGCTGTACCATAGTTAGCTAGAAGCTAATTTACATCTGTCGTCCGCGCTGAAACCTTAAAGAAGTTTCGCTTTAGATTTGTAAAATGTTGAGTTCGGTCTCTTCCTCACCTCTGATCCCTTCTTGCTCGATTTGTTGCATTTCAGCGACGTCCTTTTCTTCTTTTTACTCAACTTCAGAGACGACTGAACAAAGGAAGACAAACACAACAACATCAGACGATATATGTGTGTGTGTGTGTGTGTGTGTGTGTGTGTGGATCTACGCTTATTTATTGAACAGTGTGAGGACCTGATGGCACACTGACATTGTGGGGACCAACCTACCTTGTGGGGACCGTAAAGCCAACTCCACATATACACACAATTTAAAGTTTATGTCCAAACAATGAGTGACGGACCTTCATGTTCTGTTCTACTTTCTCTTTCTACTTGTCTGAGAAGAAAGTGTTGGTCATAAGGAAAATACATACAGTAATAATAATAAAATTAAAAATAAACTGCTCAATAACTTAGTGTAGTGCCCAAAATACGCTGTCATGATACAAATTGTGGTGTTAAATGCCAATTAGTAATTATGACTAGGTTTAAACAAGTGCAAGAAGTAATGTAGCTGTTGAATGAAAACCATTTATCTCCACATTTAATGATTTTGAATTTTGCTGATAAACTGAGGGATTAACGAGTAATTTGACATAACGACAGTTTGGACTGGTTGAAGGTTCATGTTGGAATTAGGTCTAGTTTAGAGTTATAGTAGGCAGAGAGGCATTTAGTTGTGATGGTAAGGGTTAGGAGCTAGGGAATACATAGGGTCCTCACAAGTACAGAGAGACAAACATATGTATGTACCTGTATTCTGCGGACCCTGATGATCCAGGTAGGAGGAATGATGACGGCAGCGTGAGCTCCCAGAGAGCAGCACTCCTCTATCTGCTGCAGCATGAAGCACGTCACCTTATTGTGGTACTGAAACACAGACAGACAGCAAGTCACCATACTAAAATGCAGGCAGACCGTGCCATAAGTATGTTTTCCATCTTAAGTTTGTACAAATTTTAACCAAATTTCTATAAAATGTGTCAAATAAAACTTGACTGAAGTCCTGTTTCCATCCACTCCTGTTGTGTGAATATTAGTACGATATACACAAACAGCTAGTCAGTGCTATTAAATCACTGCACAAGAAGAAAAGGTGATTAAAAGAGCTTGAGTCAAATGATGGAAAACCATTTGTGTTAGTTTAATTTATTAATGTGGGGACGGTCACAGCTTCCTCATTGCTCCACAAACATCTCATGTTTTAAGCTTTTTGTTCCTGTTCAGGACTACTTTGATACAACTGTTCCATTTGTTGCTCTGGTTCATTTGGGTTCACACGGCAACATTCAAGAGTGGTAAAAACAATGTAAACAAATGCCATGCAATTGTTCTCTTATTGGTCACAAATGTTATCAGGAAGATTTTCCTCAGAACTCTTCCTCCTCTTTCTTTTCTTTCTCCAGGTTTCAAAACAACTGGTCCAACAGAACTAGCTATGAATACACCCAAAGTCACATGCTTCATGGGTTATTTATGCATACTAATAATGTTAATACTGTTAATGTATTACTAATAATGTTAACAATGTTAATGCAGTAGTAATAATGTTAACAATGTTAATGCATTACTAATAATGTTAACAATATTAATGCAGTAGTAATAATGTTAACAATGTTAATGCATTAGTAATAATGTTAACAATGTTAATGCAGTAGTAATAATGTTAACAATGTTAATGCATTACTAATAATGTTAACAATGTTAATGCAGTAGTAATAATGTTAACAATGTTAATGTATTAGTAATATTGTGATAAGTGGTATTAGCACTTTTACTGTAACAGAGTAGTATTAGTACTTTCTCCACCACACTGAACACACTGAGGCCATCAATGTCTCTGATATTTGGATGTTACAATATCTAACTAATGTGAAACCTCAGGTTTCTGTTCTCTGACTGTGAACTTACCGCCTGTTTGCACCACGAGCAGCTGATGGCAACAATCTCTTTGCTGTGAAATGAAAACTTCTGTTGAAATCCCTGTTGGTGATAAAAGAGGAGACCCTGTTAGCTCTCAGACTCTGCAGCTTATCAGTGGAAGCGCTTTGAGTGACTGATGGAGGCTCACCTTCCCACACTGTCGACACTTCCCTGTTTGATGTCTCCTGTGGACCCAGTGGTGTCGCACAACGTTGGACTGAAAAACAACCAATGATTTATAAGAGTTCAGTTCCTGTTTTGATTTCCTGAATGTGAACTTTTCACATTGAAGTGGTTCTGATCATCTTGTGAATTATAGAAGTTATTATAGAGACACAACGACGATGGGCCTCATTCACGACTATCCTGATGACTTTTTCTTAAATTTGTTCTTCAGAAAGTTCCTAAGAAAAGTTTATGTCTGTCAGATTCGTGAAGTGTTCTTAAACGGTAGAATTGTTACATGTGGAAAGTAGGATCAGTAGCGGATTCATATGTTATTTAAATAACAAAATAAGATAGATGGGATAGATTTAGTGTTTGTGTTAGAGTAATATTTATTTATTTTAAAAGACCATAATGCTTTGTTAAATACGGTGAATAGCTCTTATAGTGATCACATTTGTCAGGGTCAAATTTACACCATAAGCGGATGATTATTATATGAAAAAAATAGTTTATTTATTCATTCATTTTCTTTCCTTATTTCTCACGCAGATTACCATCTAATTGACATCTGTATATTCATTACATGAATATACAGTAATAAAACTGTCAGCTTTACCATTTACTGAATTGTATTGACTGTTTCAAATGCTTACACTATAATACAGTACAGTACATAAAATATATCTTACTGTAGCCTCAAACAGTACTGTGCTGTTTACAGATACAGTAACATCAGAAGTGTTAACAGGCTACTAAAACACCACTTGGCAGTGATTTCAGTGCATTTCTAAATTGTCAATGAATGATTTTGTCCCAAACTTTATAATCACTATAAGCTGTTTCCACTGTAATGAAAATAATTATAAAAAAATATTATACATGATACAATTATTTTTGTAATTTTAATCCTACAATTGTAGAATTGAAGAAAACAGGATAACAAATGATTTGGTCAGATCTCATATGTGGGTAAGCCTGTTCTTGATGGTGCATAGATTCTGTTTATACTAAAGAATAAATCCAAAATAAGAAAACATCGGTGAATGTCACAATGAAATCTGCGTGAGTGGGTTTTAAGAAGATATTTCCTCAGACTGACCTCTCGAATGGCCCGACATCCTGGTTCTCTAAATGACGGCTTGCACCTGAAATTAATCTGAACAAAGAGACGAGGGACTGTGAGCAGAGACGAAAGAAGAATCTGAGTGAAGCTGTTCAGAAGATTTACCTTCTCCAGCTGCTCCATGCACATCGTGTGGACCGATATCTTACAGCCGGCACATTTCTTCCTCGCCACTGACTTTTGCTGCAGAAAATAACAACAGATGTATTGCATTGTGATGCACATTAATAGCTCGGTAACAGAGAGTAGTCTGAATATTTGAGAGAGTAAAGTGAGGTCTTTAGTGATTTGAAACCATCATACTTATATCAACAGAAAGCAGAACTACATTACGGTAAATGTGTCACAATTCTTGGTGTGAAGAAGGAAGGAAATGTATTTTCTCCTGGATTACGGTCGCAGTTTTAAACACGTGGCTAATGTTGAAACAAATAGAAACAAAACAATAATGCAACAAAAGTACTTGGTTATGTTTAGTTCAACTTAAAATAAGTATGTTTGTTACTTTTTTAAAGTTACATACGGTAATGCACAGTTTGAGTATGTTTGTACTTCAGTAAAATATGCAGTAAAATATGTATGTAAAATATTAACAGAGTGAAAAATATTTAATTTCCACTCTTCTGTTTATGATTTTTTAAATGTGAAAATGATTATTCTGTTCAAGTATTGAGGTTCAGATTGGAAGACACCATCTCAAAACTATTTGGTACCGAGCAAGGACCATTTGGGGTTCCGGCGAGAAAGTTTAGCGAAGAGCGTGTTATATACCCACTTAACGAAGAGATTCTGGGCAATAATATCACGTAAGCCATTTTACACGCTGCAAACACAATTATACACAAACCAATACCATCAACTAGAAGATGTACCACAATATCACATATTTTTCGCGATGACTCGGCGAGCTACGCACTCCGGACAAAGCTACGAACACAAAGCTAAAAGCTAACACGGACAACCAATACATCACAGACCAAGAGAATTCAACACAGAATCCAGAGATATCTTCAGAATTTCTCTCCGTGAAACCATTACAGAGATACAGCCAACAAGCACCAGAAGAACAAGCCGCTTCACCGCAGAAAAAATCATAACTGCCCCTTACTTTGAGATGAATCATGAAGAGAAAGGAATAATATTCCAGTTCCCGGCTAAAAACACTGTTGCTACGTATATCCTGTGTGTTTCTGAACTGTTTCCTGAAGAAAGGGGGGTCAACCAAGCATGGGGGACCGGGGGTAGGGATTTCACTTTCGGGTGTATAGTTGTTTACGCTCGGCGAGGCATGGTGCAGTTTTGATTTTGACTGGCTAACGATTCTGTCAATCAAGCTCACGTCACCTCCACTCATTTCTCTGGACTATGACGCGTCGAAGGAGGTCTCATTCACTCAAATCGACCAATCATAGGCTGAGATAAGTCCACATACACACAGGGAAAAAGCAGTCAGACGAGGATGGCTCCATGGTTCACAGGCTCAGAGAGGATTCAGTCTCTCAAAATGAAGCCAAACTGCTGTATTTGGATAGATTGAACACTATTAGTGATAAAACAAGTGAAATATATAACAGATGTAACAGATACACTGATATTTACACATCTGCACAAATCTCACAAGTGCTACCTTTATTATAACATACAAATTATTAAAGTAGACCTTGTAGTTATAGAAATACACTCTTTTTAATATGAGTATGCAATTTTTGAGCAGAGGCCTAAAAATAGGTCTATGGTTAAAAGGGTAAGTATTTGAACACTTTTACATATTTTGAATATATATGCAATCTTCAATTTCTTAGTCAACAGGAGGGTCTAAAGAAAATTATAAAAGGTCTTAACATGTGTACAGTCCCCTCAGGTTAAGACACTAGCGCTCTGTTTCATTAACAGGAAGTACAGTTTGTGACCACAGGGGGCACCGTGACTCACCAGTGACTTAGCTATGCAGTACTGCTCTCCAACATAACAGAAGTCTCCAGAGCCACTGGTCTCAAACCAGATGTGGTCCCCGAACTGGGCGTTATCCTGGGATGGAAAACAAATCAAAAACATTTCTACAAGCTTTTTTGTTTCACAGAATCAAATATAAAAATATAAACCTGACATTTAATTATCAATTTAAAAGGTCTCTACAAATAATGTTTGATTTTAAAAGAACACCATTTCAAAGGCCCAAATCATTCAGACACTTTGAGTTAACTTTAAAACTATTACAATAAACGTTAAGAATTTAGTAGTAACAATAAAACCATCATATAATACATATAAATAAAAACAGATGATAAAGATTTAGCATTCAAGAGTCAAACAGACTCTTTTTGTTGAACCTGAACTTTCTAAATACAATTTAAGTCTTAGTTTTAGTCCTATTGTAGCGCTGATGGTTTTACAATATACACTATATGATGAGATGTGCTGCAATGTGAAGAACAAAACTAAGAACAATAACAGAACTACAGCTAGAGGCGACTGTGTTTTCCCCTCAAGATCCACAAAATGTGTCGGACTTTTCCATTAAAGGCACAAAAAAGAAACTCTCTTCCATCCCATTTATAAACGTAGACGTGTGTTTTTCTATGATGCTAAAAAGTTAAAGCTTAAAGGAGAATCAAGAATGCAATCATGAATTTAATTGTATGTTGTTAACTAATCAAACAACCAGAACTGTTCTGTAAACACCATCAGTATCCTGTGACTATGTACACAGTGAATATTATTTTATCATCCTTGTTTGTATTATTGTCCATCTGGCCCGGGATGAAAATGAGCTTTCAGCGATATCGAGTATTGAAATGTTTTTTATACGTAGTTTATATTTAAAATGTAAAAGAGAAAGTAAGTGACGGTGGATGTAAACAATGATGGATTTCAAATGCTTGAAAAAAGTTGGCTTTGCAAATGTTTTCTAGGGAAGTAAATACATGTTTAGAACCGTTTTCTCTTTCTCAGTTCAGTCAGACTATCCAAACAAACTGCAATGAGGAAGTTGGTTCACTGTAACTCTGGACCGCTGCAGGAACTTTCCTGTGGCATGTTAGCAGAAACCATCATCAGAGAGTAGAAGAAGAAATAACGGAAAAAATAGCAATAATAATAGTTTATGTGTGTGCGTCATCATTCCGTCCTGGTTGACCTGAGTACTTTATTATATTTTAAAGTTTTTGCACCGAATATTGGTGAGTGAATTTAGACTAAATTATTTTATTATTTTACGTCCGTTGCTTATTTTTTTATGTTGTTTTAACTTTTTCTGCTGTTTTGTCTGACATCTGTAGTTTGGATTTTGTTCATCCTGCCATCTTCGCCAGGCCTCTCAATAGAAAATATTCCTGTAAAACAAACGTTTGAATAAAATAAATAAAAGTAAAATTCACTTCAAGATGAGCCTTATGTTCCCTGGTTGTCATGGACGTCGCAGAGACAAATAAAAGGAGGAAGGTTCTTTGCTTTCTGGTTTTAACATCCGGACTGATTTAAAAATAAATCAGGTTTCCTCATTGATTGAATCATGTGAAGCTGAATGAAGATCGGCTGGATCAGCAGTGACTCACGCTCCAGTCCACGGTGCTGTTGGGCTCCTGCAGCGGGTCGGTCTGTCCGGACATTGCCGCCTTGGGCTGAGCCGCCGCGTGCTGCAGACCCGACTTCGCCATCGCTTTCCTGAAACCACAAGAGGACAAAAGACCTTTTAAGGAAACAGACTCCAGATCAGTTTATACGTTTTATTAGTTGTAGTTTTGTCATGTTAATATTTTCCCTGCCGGATCATGGATACGTGCAGGATTAATGGAGCAATATAATGTCTTTTGATATCTCATGACCAAAAATATATTCTACATGTTATACCTATAGTTGCTGCTATGGTTACCTGAAACCTATAATAAATGAAGCATTGATTTACAATGATGTGAAACTAGTTTTATTCTTTTGAAAAATCAGCAGCAGATACTCTCTGTTTCTGTTATAATATGAAACTTTATTTGCATTTTGAGGACAGTGTGCTGAACACTTCCTGCCACACACACACACACACACACCTGTCGTTTTACATTTGAGAGGACACTGACATGAACCTCAACCTTTAAAGTCTGAACCCTTAAACAAGCCTTTGAAGAAGAGAGGACAAAAAGTCCTCGTTTCCAAAAGTGTCCTCACAAGCTCTAAGGTTCTAACTGGTACTCACAACGACAGTTGTATAAGTACACACACACATCCATAAGTACACACACACATCCATTCCTTTGCTCTGCTGTGATCAGTGATCAATCAATGAGCTTCAGACGTGTGTCTCCAGCTGAGAACCATTTTAATCATCTCACGACTTTAATGAAGTGAGAGGATGAGGTGTTGTGTTTTATGATGAACTTGATGAAACGTGAATCATTTAAAACTCTTTGAGGTTTGTTGTGGAGTAAACCTGCAGCCAGTAACATTCAGCTAAACTTGAGCCGCCGTGTTGGAGGTCTACATACAGCAGGAAGCTGCTCCAGCTCTCCAGGTGGGCGTCGCCCAGCGGGCTGAGGGCCCCGGGGCCCCGGTAGAAGGCCGGCTGATGGAGGTAGTGGACCGAGCTCCTGCGGCTGGGCAGCGGGGGGCCCCTCCCCGGCCAGGGGCTCCCGGCCTTAGAGATGGTGGAGATCCTCCTCCTCTTCCTCTGGCTGGACGCCCGGTGGCGGCCGAGAGGAGCGCCGTCTCCTAAGAACAGCTGAGACGAGTTCCTCCTCAGGCAGCGAGGGGCCCGGATGAGGGGCCGCCACGCCGGGGGGGGGCGCGGAGTCTCTCTCATCACCTCCACGGCGGAGGAGGATGGGCGGTCGGAGGAGGACGGGCGGTCGGAGGAGGAGGAGACGTGCGACCAGGAGGCATCTTCGTCCTCCTCCTCCTCCGCCAGCTGCTCCGCCTCCTCGGACGGTTGGCTGGCTTCTGATTGGCTGTCGTTGGCGGTGGAGTAATCACTGCTGTCCGATTGGAGGCTGCTGGAGCGTGAGAACATCCTCCTGGTGCTGGCCCCGCCCCTCACCTCCACCTGCTGCTCTCCGGCTGGTAGCCCCGCCCCCTCCACCTCCTCCTCTTCCTCAGCCATCTGGATGAGGCTGGCAAGCAGCATGGACGGGCCCAGCAGGTGCGTGTCGATGGTCCGCAGCTTGCCCACCTTCCTCCTGCACACGGCGAACCTGGGGTTGAGGCTGGGGGTGGTGGTGCTGGAGCGCCGCCGGACGTGCCCCGCCCACCTGCTGTGCCGGGACGTCTTCGCCAGACGCCCCCCTCCGGCGCACGACAGCGCCCCCTGCAGCTGGACGCTGGGGCGTCGCTGCTGGGTCAGCGAGGAGGACGGCAGCCCAGCGTTGGACCTCCGGCGGGCCTTGCTGGTCGGGACGGCCACGCTGGGCCTCCGCCGGTTGACCGATTTAGACTCTGCCCCCGCCAGCAGAGCCGCCTCCTTCCTTTTAAAGTGACGGCGGAAAAACGTGTCCATGATGGACGGAGAGACAAGGAAGACGTCTGAAATGCTCCTCTCTGGCTGTTGGGCATAAAAAGTAGTTAGCTTGGTGTGAAGAGCTTAAGGAGATACTAAGATATTATATATTATATATGTTTTATTATACGAAAACTACAGGAAGTGTAATTCATCCATTAAAAACTAAAATAATCTGTTTTATAGAGAGCCGAAGTTCAACTGTGACTAGGTTCTAGTTCTTCTGGTGTCTGTGGTTAGTTCAGGTGTCTGTAATAATAGTTGGAGACAGTAGAGTCGAGTGGATTCATGGATGAAAGAAACCTTGAATGAAAGATTTCATTGAGACCAGACAGGAAGTGACATCATGACTTCAGCTCTGTATAAAACCACTGGACCACCTCAGTTTGAAACTAAAGTTCTGTATCCGACTACAGTTTTTAAACCTGATCACGGATCAGATCAGCACAAGAGAAAAAAAAGAGCAAATCATCTGTTATAGATTCCTGATCATGATAACGTTATAATGTACCTTCAGCCAGTACTCATGTTCACTGAGAAGAGCCTGAAGGCATCATAATGTAACTGAAGTGAACCTCCGTTGGTTAGCCATTAGCGGTGCTGCTAACGTTACTAGCTCTCCTCCTGTTGCTTTAAACACTGATTGGTTGTTTACAATGAAACATGATCAGAGATCAGAGACTAGAAACACATGTTCTACTGAGTATTGGAGGAGAACCATCGTTAGTAAAACTGTATTGTGTGGAAGCTGCTGCAACATAAATGTCAATTAAATTCATTCCAGGTTCACTAAGTTGCTGATTTCCAGAATGAGCATGAACACATCATCACTACTAGATGTTGTGGAAGACAAACTGCTGTTTCTGAGGAACATGAATAATAAAACATTCAGGGGGGGGCAGAATGTCAACAGGAAGAAACAGTGGTTAAGGCCACAACTACATGCTGGCTTATCTTCCTCCAAACAACAACACTCCAGTAATTAGTCTGTGACAACATCCTGAGTGTTTGACTGGTTTCAGAGAAGAAGAGTTTAACACAAGATCATTACAGGGTTTTTGAACCTGCTAACTGGTCCTGAACCAGTCTCAGTGTAGTCCTGATCCTCTATATGAACCAGTCTCAGTGTAGTCCTGATCCTAAACAATGTGCACAATGACGGCCTGATAACTGTTAAACAATGTGCTCCAACGACAGTCTGATAACTGTTAAACAATGTGCACAATGACGGCCTGATAGCTGTTAAACAATGTGCTCCAACGACAGTCTGATAACTGTTAAACAATGTGCACAACGACAGTCTGATAGCTGTTAAACAATGTGCACAACGACGGCCTGATAACTGTTAAACAATGTGCACAATGACAGTCTGATAACTGTTAAACAATGTGCACAACGACGGCCTGATAACTGTTAAACAATGTGCACAATGACGGCCTGATGACTGTTAAACAATGTGCACAATGACAGTCTGATAGCTGTTAAACAATGTGCACAATGACAGTCTGATAGCTGTTAAACAATGTGCACAACGACGGCCTGATAACTGTTAAACAATGTGCACAATGACGGCCTGATAACTGTTAAACAATGTGCACAATGACAGTCTGATAGCTGTTAAACAATGTGCACAACGACGGCCTGATAACTGTTAAACAATGTGCACAATGACGGCCTGATGACTGTTAAACAATGTGCACAATGACAGTCTGAT